CATGATTCGGCAAATCCCAATAAATTTATACTTGTGAAGGAAATGAAATTTAAACGTAACAATTTCTATCTGCGATGCTAATCGGCGACTGTCGTTTTACAAAATTTTCTGTAATCAATTATAGCTTCAAAGAGTTTTCACTTCATATACGTCTTTCTTCCGTGTGAGATTTTTCATGATCTAGATTGCTATTGAAAAGTTGCGTGTCCTTGCACGGATATTACGTCTGTATTTCCGTTCCTTGAAAGTCGGTGACGTCAGAGCACGAGGGATCCACCGAACGAGCCCTCGCGATCGACCAATCGCACGATTCACGTTCGCTTCCTCACTTCGAAGCCAGCTGACTGGTTGCGTCATCCCTTAAAATTTCATTCTCGAGCAATCACACGCGCGAGCTCGCCTAAACGCGCGCGTTTCGATAGAACGTGATCGATTGCACGAACGACGAGAGCGGAAGCGTAGAAATATATTAAAATAAGGGCCAAAAGTTTCTCCCCGCCTATTTCTTCTAACGAAACGTTGAAATGTAAGAAAAAAAAAAAAAAAAAAAACACTAATTTCATTAATTTTAAACTAAATTTAAGTCCAAATATGATTTTCTTATCATTCATTTTAAAGCGTTGGCAAATTAATAAAAACATTGCGGATTTTAGTTTAGGAAGTGATTTTTGGCCCACCCTACTGTAAACTACTTTTATTTCAACTAAATGCCCGATTAATATTACGTAACGTATTCAAACGTAATCAAACGTACTCAAATGAAATGAAAATCCGCTCGATAAGGAAAAATCTTATCACGAAATAACCAAAATTGGAAAAATTAATAAACTAGATAAACTAGAAATTTATCAAACACAGTTTTACCGTACAATATACTATATACGTACAATACTACTTGCATGATTTTGTCGAGTAACTCATATAATTGAAGTAAAATTCTACTTGTGTGATTTTGTACAACTGGAGATCAGGAGTCCAACGATTACAGAAATTGCTTTGTGATATTTTCAATTTATACAAAAATACACAAAACATTTATGGTTTTATGGTTAACATACATAAAATATGGTTATATAGCGAGTACAGAATACAAGGAATAAATTTCTACGTATTTTCACAATAAATATCTTACTTTGGATATTTTGTACACGTTCATACGTGCATTTCTCATTCCTCAAACTTGGCATAAGTGGCTTCGACACGACGAAGAAATTTGAATATCGAAATTTTTCAGAATTCGACCATGGAATTTCACACGGCCACTGGCTATTGGTTTGTTCGACTGTTTACCAACGCTGCGCAATCGCATTTCACTAGATCCGCTTCCGGTTGTACGGAAGCAGATCTTTCGGCGCGCGATTATTCGAGCGGTGAGATATTTCCTCGCTAAAACGGAAGCACGGAGGGATTTTTGGAACCGGTTTGAAAGAGAGAATCAGTTTACCCACTCATCAAAGGATATTCCGCTTAAAAATGAATTTTGGTTACGAAGGAAAATTCTTTGAAAATAGAGAAAGATTATCTCGCGATTCCTTTTTCTTCTTTTTGTAGAAATTTGACTGACCAGAGAAGACGAGAAACATCTTGTTGAAAATTTGCAAATACTTTCGTCTATTTATTTTCATTTAAATTGTCAAGCTTAAGCTTTTGTTGAATTTGAGAATATTTTAGAATATTGTATCATTGGACTTTGTCGAGCAGCTCGTATGTGCGAATTATGTCTACTCGTAACAAATCAATTGCTCATTGATAAGCGGGTTTCAGCTGATTAATTATTTCGTATGTCTGGAAACGATATCATTAATCACAGGAAATTGGCTGATAACGTTGCAAGACTTTCACAATGAAACAACTTGTTTTTGTAGTGTCTTGCGAGCCGAAGTGTCGCACATTTTTATTACATAACAGTACTTCACAAATATTATTAATCCTCGTCTAACGATTTGCTAAGAAGATAAACAACAATTTTATGTTCGTGGAGCGCGGCACGCGTTTCATAGAAAGAGGATATTTTTATAGTGTGAGGAGAAAATATCAAAAAAAAAAAGATCAATATCATTTACCCGGTTTCTTTGGTAAGAAAGCATTATCGATCGTGGAATAATCGTCTGACGAAATCCTTGGTGCTTTGCACGTACGTTCAATTGTGGCAACTGAAAACTCAAATCATGCTTCAAATTTCATCATGCGAAATTTCTCGTCGAATTTTCACTTTCATGGTGAAAAATGCTTGATAAATGAACGTGCGAAATAGACATCTACGAACCGTAGTCCAAGAAAATTCATAGATATAAATGCAACGTATAAAATATAATTGAGAAAATAGGAATTAAACTACAAACACATCATTTTGCAACGTCATTTGTAGCCCTAAACGTGCGAATAAAATTCCAGCTGTGAAACGAAATGACATGAAAATAAGAGAACTGTTTGTTTTTTGAGCGTAGATATGTAAGAAACGGAAGTTGTATATCGGATATCGCGTATCTGACAGAAACGATATCTCTGAAGGATAAAGGCAAGATGTAGACAGTGTTTGTATCGTCAAGATTCGCAATGAAAGAGCGGAATGAGATATGTTACTCCATTTGTTACCAGCCACATGATATCAGTGTAATGAAACATAAATTGACTGAAAAATTAAACGAGCGAATTGCGTCGTCTTCGTTGCGAAACTGTATAATGTTACCGCGATGAAGAATAAACGCGATGGACGTGAAACGATTGTTTCGATTTGTGAAACAAAGGAAAAGATCAACATAGAGTTCGACAAACGAAACGCGTTACAACGTTTAATACCGTGTAGAAGTATTATTAAATCAAACGAAAGACACGAAATGATTTTTATGCAGATAAAGAAAGATCAATGAGTTTTATTCGATGGAAGAAACGCTTTATTAACGTTTAATTTCGCCAAGATTATCTAATTTTTGCAAGCAAGAAAGATTTACAATATTTTCAGAACACGTCTGATATAATATTATACTTTGCCGGAGAATAATGCATATTAATAAGAACTAAACTACTTTACTTCATTTTGTTTAAACTCGAGTTGTTTTTCAATTGATTGGAGGAATACAAAATGGTTAATACAATGGTGGAAACAATTACCGAATCAGTCAAAAGATAGCAAAGTTTTATTAAATAGGAACGCGTCGGCGCAGAAATATTATTGAATAAAACGCGATCGAACTCTATCGAGCCACTTGCGAAAACGTTGATTCATCGAGGACGAGACTCGAGTGGATCTTCGCACGTTTCGAGTTTTTAATACGGGTGTCTTAGAAACGTTGCACGTGTTATCGCTTGCGTAATCTCGACTTAGAGGCTAGTGCAGCGAACAGACATGTTTGAAATTTGTTGTAATCATCGCTGCTCGTTTCGCTATCGATTTCCGTCGGAACGCGTGAAAACTCCACGATAAAGAAACGAACAATGGAAGGGGAAACATTTTTAAAAGGAATAAACTTTTCCTTGAGTAAGGCGCACGGTCATTATTGCTATAATAAGTCAACGCTATCGATTCTTAAACAACGTGACGTTTATATTCTTGTAAATAGTCCGTTTGATCGTTTTACGATTTGAGGTATTTCATTTGTAGTAAATAACGAAAGACAGCAGGATGATAACACTCATTGGAAGGCATCGAGGCTGGAAATAAACGCAATCCCAGGAATCCCAAATTAAAAAGATGATCAAAAGGGAATCAGTCGTGATGATTCCGTTACGCCGAAACGAAAATGTATCCTGTGAATTTCACGAGTTAACTGCAAATTTTAATCGTCGCGAGAAAAAGAACTTTTGGAAACGAATTTCTCTCAAGATTAGAGAAAGATCATTATTTTACGTTCAAGATTGCATTGTGCTTGAGGAAAGCAGAGGATCACTCTCCGACGGAAAGATGATTAGCAATTAATTAACGACAAGGCGCGGAAGATGCAAATTTGCAGGTTTTTAGCGTAACGGAGAGGTGTCCCGCGATCAAGTGACGCAATCATTTCGTCGAATTTGTAGGCGCGGAATCGGATGACCTCTCTGCCCTTGGGAGGACGAGCCTCCATCTCGCGCACGGCACATTCACCGATAGTGTTCCGGTCACGACGAAGTGTGCGAACGAGGGGAAACTTCTACCCCTATCTCGCCCCCCACCGCTGTCCCGCCATCCCCACCAACGTGTCTTTCCGCGACAGTGTCGTATCGCGCGCCCGAGAACCCGACGCATCGATTGACGCAAGAGCCAGCACCGCTTTCGCAATCGATTTAAATCTATCGCGGAAACGAGAGATACGAATTTCAGATTGCGGGGAGGGAAACGATTGCGATTACAGGGAAATCTTGTAAATTTCACAAGCGTGACAAATACTTTCGATCGGTTGAAATCGTATCGCGAGAATTGCATCGATTTTTGTTGTCAGGGGACTTCTGTCAGAGACGAAGGTTAATTTTCTTCTCTAAGAAACGAAATAATGAAATCTCTTTGTGAAACGGCCGTTACACTGTTTGAATAAAGGTTAGAACGACCGTCGGCAACTGTTTGCAAATGGCGGGCATTTTAATCTGTGTTAAACCGTTTGCCGACAGTGTCACGTGTCGATGTTAATTGATTAATTAATCGGCACTGAAGTATGATCGTGCAAAATAAAACTTATTCATTTCCGGAGGTTCAGAGGGTATGTTAAATGTTTAATATGTTTGTTCGGCAGCTTTCAGCACTCGGAGGTGCCAATTTTTCGAATGTTTTCAAAAGCATTCAACATTCTGAAAAGCATCGAACCAATTTTGCTGTCATTCACTTGACAAATACACGCGCGACTGAGAGATTATATAGATCTGGATGGACGAATGGACAGCGACGAGAAGAAAAAGAATTTTCTGAATGGCCGGACGGGGAGTCCCGACGCGTCCGTCACTGAATCGTCGGTCTCCTTGATGGCCTCTTTTCTCCCCGCCACTTCGTCCAGCACGTTCGTCCATGGAAGTGTAGGTACGCGCGTGGAACAGGCGCGTTCGTGCCAGTAGTCGCGATATAAAACTCGTGGGGCACGCTGGTAAACGACAAATCGTACGTGGCTATTCGAACGCGAACGTGTACACGTAGTTACCGCGGACGCGCGTGCACGAACGACTCGTGTCCGTCGAAAAAGAGAGAGAGGAGAGAACCGGATTCGCGCGGCGATTTCTCGAATTTGTACATATCACGAGTGTGTGCGACAGTTTCTTCCCTCCCAATTGTGTGCTTTCTCCAGTTCAACATCGTGCGGAACCGTGCTCCGAAAAAACACGCGTACTCCGGACACGAAGCTAGCTCGAGGGCCGTCGTGCAGCTCGGGGTGCAGCAACGAGGGGGCGGGCAATGAAAACGTCGACGTTATCCTCGAGTGACATGATCAAACAGGAGGTGAGCCAAGACGAACGTCGTTCGCGATGGAGGAGATAGTGGCTCGTGTAACGGAAGACGCGGGGCCGGTTTTTCGCGTCGATCGATGGCGATTCCTTTGAACGTGTACGTCTTTTTTTTTTTTCTCTCTTCGCGACGGCTGTCGTTTATGTATATATACGAAAATATACGCAGCAAAGGAGAAAGAATCGTGCGTGTATGTTTTTCGAACGAGTCACTCTCTCGTACGTGACTTACTTTCGGGATCGTAGCGAACTCGGCGACTCGGGGGATGAGTTGAGGTTAACCCTTTGGTACGCGCGTGTCAGTTGACGAGCGGGACGACGAAAGATCGTCTGTCTGTCTCGCCGATCCGTCTGGTCCGTTCAATAAGCAAACGTAGTGCCGGATTACGTAAAATGTTCGCGACGTTCGTGATCGACGTTCGGGCACCGGTGGGTGATAGAAAAAAAAAAAAAAAGAAAAAAAGAAAAAGAAAGAAAAGAACGTACGTGTACTCGATCGTGTACCCGAGATGCAAACGCAATTTTTCACATCGTCGTATTTACGAAACTGCGAAGCGTCTGCTCGACCGATAGACAACGCCGGTTGCCTGTCACTTGCGAGTCGCAGGGTGTGAAAACGAGTTTGCCGAGAGGTTCGGACCGCCGTCGGCTATTATCGAGTGCCGCGTTTTCACGGAGTGTGCCTCAGGAACGTGACAACACGGTGCCCCCGTTGTTATCGATTATAATGATCGTACGTCGAGGGGTGGAGGAGGGGCAGAGGGGAGAGAGAGGAGGAAAGAAAAAAGGGAAAGTAGCACGCTCAATGTTACCCGCCTAGTGCAACGTGTGCATCCAGGATCGATAAATGCACGCGATTCTGATACCTGTGCCACGTACCGTGTGCCGGAAAAGATAAGTCGTTAAATATTTCACAACTCTGAATAAACGGGAGACGATAAGCTGGCTCCACTTCATTCGATTTGTTCAAACGACTTTACCGATACAATAAGCGGTGAAAAAATCCTCGCAGTGTGCGGTTGATATTCAGAATATTATTTATTCAGATAACAGGACTTGCAGTTCAAATAGAACTCGACGGGCAGAAGTTTGCTTGGTCAAAGAATTTCATTGAATGAAGTTTTACGATTTATGTTGCTACACTCGCGTTTCGTTGATCAGCCGAGAATCGAGTTGTTCCGGAGACAGCGTACGTTTTGGAAAATCTTTTCTAGAAAAGTGAAATGAAAATGAAATTGAAATTGCTCGTGTCTTTCTACTATCATGCATGAAGCAAATGTGACGCACATTCGTATATCAATTGCATTTGCAGTTACTCGACAGAGAGACGAAATTTATTCTCGATATACAGGGTGATCCGCGTAACCCGATCACCTTGAGCAACTCCTAAGATATGCGTCGCGCGATAGAAACTTTTTATACAAAAAGTTGCACACAGGTTTAGAGGGGCGCACGTTATGTAACGCGTGTATTATTTTGTTATAGGTCGAGGCGTTTCGGAGCATTTCAAAGTCTCCATTTTGCCCACAATGGAATGATGTATGTTTTCGATCCATTAATCGATGCAGCTCGATATTTTGTATAAAATACGTACACACGTCGAAAAATCATAGGTTTAGAAGATGTTTGAACGTTAATTTTATAAAGTCTACGCGGTATGGACGTAAGAATGCTCACACGAAACAAAAGATGTGTCATTCCATTTAAAAAAGTGGAAACGACTTTAAAATCTTCGATTTATTAAAAAAAAAAAGAATTCAAACCGTACGACTTTTGTGTAGGAATTGTTTTCATACAACGTATACATGAGAAGTAGATTCGAGGTGATCAACTTGTGCTACCCTGTACAATTAGATCTCGATCCAGTTAACGTAATGTCGACAAAAAAAAAAAATTAACGAAGATTTAAATAATTTCAGATATGCAAAGACCGTGTCGTTTGCAATATTGTATGGATAGACAGAAAATTTTACAATTGCTATTGAATGTAATAGAAACGTATATACAATATATACTTTTTATTAAAACGGTTTTAGTAAAACATTAATTCGCGAAGCGGAGCTTCTACAAAAAAAAAAAAAAAAAAAAAAAAAAAAAAAAAGAAAAAGGTATACGGTCCTGATACAGCCACGTTTCAATAGTAGTCACTTCTTACCTCAATTTACGACCGCACTATATCGTTTCCACCTAATGTAACGCTAAGATCCTCTCGAAAGAGTCGGTTTCAAGAACAAAGTAAAATCTCGGCCCATTCTTACTATTATGCCTCGTGAATCGAACTAGAGTTCAAATATCTAGATTACGAAAAAATCTGAGAAGAGATTAGAGAATGACGAGGCCAGCTGGAACGTGTTCGTTCGACAATGAAAATTTTTCGATTATGCAACGTGTTGCGTCGATGCACGTCTAACGATCCCGGTTTCCTTCGTGAAAAGATCGCAAACGACGACAACGTTCTTGAGCCGTGTTTCTGCGGTGAAAGAGGTCGTCGCGCTTTGGAGAAATGTTTTCGTCCGGCACTGTGGCCTTGACACTCTGGGTATGCGACGTGTGATACGCAGGCCAGATATAGCCGCTATATACGAACAGAGTCGATTTGCAACGTGAGATATAAGGTTCGTTTCTGATAAAAATTGGCCGTGTTAATTCGAACAGAGACGTGACTGTCAGGAGACAGTTTTTAAAGACTTCCGGAGACTCTCAGACATTGATGTCACGGGTACAATGTCCGAAATGTATGCGAACAGTTGTACCATCGATAGTTTTCAATATGGTGGCGGTTTTCTTCAGTCAATGTACGGGTAGACACAAACTATTTTTGTGCTAGCTGGCAGCGGTGACTTGATCTTCAGAGCGAAAATTAGCAGATACACCTTATCGATTTAAGGACCAAACGACAATCTAAAATGTTAAATACTTCGATAACTGACATTCACAATATTAAATGTCGGCAAAGTTGAAATTTCGTACAGTTATAAAGTTGATTTCGGCTGACACGATGAGCAAATTTTTGGAATTTCGTTCCCATTAGAGGAACGTCTGATTGGGAAAAAAAAGAAAAAAATTACAAAATTGAGACGTTAACTCCTTAATTAGTATAAGGCGGGCAGTATGTGCGTCGAGACGTTACTCCATAGTACGAAGCGTTTAAAAAAAAAAAAAAAAGGGAGAGAGAAGAAGAGATAATTAGCATGGACGCGTGAATGAGGATAGATAAGATCTCGATGAGGAAAAGAACGTTAATGCTTCGTTCTTTCTCGATGGAAGCAGTTTCAATGTCTCGGCACGCATTTGCATACGAAAGTATTGCATAAACGCGAACTATGTATGTAAGAAGAAAAAAAAGGAAAAAAAAAAAACGTTCGCACGATACGTGCTTGATGGGTTTTACTACCACGTGCATTTGCACGAATCACTGTGCATTGGCCTTTGGACGTTCTTCCTGTAGCGTGCATGCGGCGCATTGCATGTACTATAGCATTCATTCATAAAACAGTCCTATTGGCTGGCTGGCGGGTGTGTCGGTGACGTCACTGCCAGATCAATGCCATACCCGTGGAAAAAGGAAGCGGGAAGCGGTATACGAAATTGGCGCGAATTTCAAATGTTTCGAAGATTCGTAGAGACTTTCTGTGAATGTGTTTATAGTTTCATTAGCACTGTGGTAAGATTCGATTATGTTGGTGATATACGATGCTGATCAAATTTGAAACGAACATAGAGTGGGAGCGTTGCGTAACTGGACAATTCGTTCTAGAACAAATATGTGTCGAGTTTCGATCGTTAATTGAATAAAAATATTTTTTTGAAAAGTGATTTCAAATTTGATTATTATAATCGCAGTAGTGGTCTTATGAACAATGTGGTAATGAAATTTCAATAGGTTTTACGTAACACACGTAATAATATATACGTGAAAATTTTCTCTGACAAGTGTCTTGTTGATTCATGCTGCAAATTGCCCTTGAGAATTTCTTGCAATAATTCACGCGGTATTCTTTACGAAACTGGAATGTCAACAGTGAATTACTCATTGTCATCGTATCAGGCTCGGGCCCGATTTTATTTGGAATAACATATTAACTTGTTAACTTATTATTGTTATTGTAGGAATAACAAATAAAGTAACATTATGTAGCGTGAGAGTCAAATAATTAGTTTTTAAATAATAATCAAGTTTGATTATTAATCAGACAAGACTGAGGAGTTGACAATGCCGACATACAAGAAAATTATTCGAATAAAAATTTATTCAAGTACAAAATAAAGTACAAAATGAAAAAAATTATTTCGTTTGATAGTTAAATAGCAATCTAGAAAAAAATCAAATAAATTAACGCACGTCTGTTGTTATTTCGAATAATATCTAGCCAAATAATATATTATATTATTAATACATGTATATATTATATATGTACTATATAATATGTATAATATGTATCATTCAATTCATTATTTCTGAAATATATTATTTGGATAATAATAGATTTTATATTATACGCTACAGTTGAAATTTATGTGCTTGTCAGATATACATTTTTAAAGATGAATTATTTCGGGTATGTTTAACAAATTCATAGACTCCTTGTCCGACACAATGATTTATTACTCTTCTAATCGTGCGCGGTAAATATGCGGAATCACGTGATATCGTACTTTTCGCAAATTAGTAATCTAACTTCGTATCGTGTAGCCATATGAAATATGTACGCGATGGTAGAAAATTTTCAATGGAGTAATCATTGCAGATCATTGATTCGTGTGATATGCAAATGAAAATAACTGTTTTTACACGTGGTTTTGCACGCTCGTCCATAAATCATTCGATCAATTAATAAAATTAAGATCTGATTATCATCATCAGGTGTTAGAAGTGACCTGTATTACGTAATAAAACTGACGCGTGTCCAATTTTTATAATGGAAAGGTGTATACATTAATTTGTATATATTAATATATATTAAAGGTGTATATAGTGCAAATTATATATTGAAGAATTATTTAACAATTAATAATTAATATATACAAATTAATAATAATTAATCAAGCAATTGATACTGTTTTTTAAATAAAATTAATATCAGTTTTCTTTTTTTTAATACATGTATTTGTCTCGTGTGACAATAGATGCGAGTTATCAGAGATATTTTCATTATTTATCCTTTTAATAATTCTCTCCAAATTTCTTTTAATTTCATGAGTCTTTCTTTTATTTAGAACACGTTTCTCCTATTTTTTTCTGTCCCACTCGTACAATTTTTCAATTGGATTTAACTTCGTACGATTACGATGACTCTATCATCAAATTTCGATAATATTTATTTTAATCACGCATTATTAATTTCACGTTAAGATATTGCTGTAAAATATAATAAAGTTAAACAATAATAGCAAGCATTAAGGTATTTGTCTCGAGGATGAAAACTGCCTAGTATCGTCAAAAGATTCGACAATGTTTATACATGTCAGTGTTATTATCTACAAGTGGCCCTTCGATAGATCGCACGGTAAGGTAGTGTAGTAATCCTCAATTATCTGGCTACTTTTTCAATAGTAGGAGCTTGATAACTCTGAATTTCTTGAGGATTAGATGAATTTCGAACGGTTGTTCATTCATTGATATTTTCTGTTATTTCTCACGCAATGAATGAACACCTAGCAAATTCTTACAATATTTTTCGTTGAAAGGACACTTAAACAACGTAATTTTAAAGATAAATCTGCTATTAAACGCGGCTCAAAATACAAACTGTACATATCAAGTAACAAGATTTATCTGTCTTAAACTTAAAAATTAAATAATTATCGTTACACAGATTACAGGGGAAGGAAGAGGCTCTCTTTTATGAGAGATTTTCATTGCAATTTCTCACGTTTATTCAGAGGGTGTGCATTTCATTTCGTTTCATTTTATAAAAATATGAGACCGCATAAGAATCCGCATTTGTGACAATTGTAACTTAAATTTAAGTGACACGGATAAAGGTAGCTAGATCTATGCTGAAAACAGAGGAAGAAGAAAAGAAACTATCGTCGAAAAATCCGAGACAACTCGTAGACAATTGCAGACTTGAGAAAAAAAAAAGTTGGATCCTGTTACAACAGATTAAAAAGCGACAGATCCCTAAAGATTACAGCGAAAATAGATCGCCGCATCCAAATATATCTCAAAGAGATTTCAGGTTGATGTTCAAAGAGGTATCATAACAAGTTATATTTAGATATTAATGTAGAAAGTTCAGAGACGAACTAATGACTTTGGACTTGAGGGAATTGTTCACCGCAGTATCTGAGGTATGCCAGAACAAACGTAGTTGGCTCTTTATAACATCGGGGAAGTTCTTTTCAAACCAACAACGAAGAGTAAAGCCATCGCGAGTCACAATAATTTAAACGAAGATTCAATGTGAAATGTATATTTTTTAGTGGGAATTTTACATCGAGAGAAAGAAATACCTAAATGCGTAAATTACCAATAAATGAATAATAACCAATTCGCTGCAGCATTCTTCTATATATAGCGCGATAATTAACCCAATTATCCGAGAAGGTAATCATTAGACTTTAAACGTTTGTGCAAATTTATATTATTAGAGAACCGGTATATCAAAATAGAGGCTTTCATGTTTGCAACGAACGCTGAATTTTGGACGGCATTATATTTTCTTTCGTCATATCGTGCGCGTTGTTTGCACGTTTAAAATCCGCGGTCTAGCGACGATAGTGATTGGAGAAAATTAACCTTCATCGTGTTGGTCAAGTTGTTTGAATTCGGTATCCCTGTATTTAACGACTTTCCACGTGTAAAGATATTAATCTTCAATTAAATGAAATTGAACTTTATGAATTCATTTTTTACTTTCTTTCAATTCGAAACTGTAATCATATCGATATCACGAGACAGGAAGTTTATATACATAAATCCAGTAAATGGTCGGAGGGTCTTTAAGGACTAGGACAGATTTGAATAATTTTTCCAAATTAATCGTCAAAAATTGTCAAACGTTAAATGTCACTGTCACCTGCGCTCCAATTATTCCGAAAAGAATAGCACGAAAGACTTTTACTCTTCAGTATGTACGTGTGTTTGAACAAATCCACAATGGAATGTTGGTTTTTTTCAAACATGAAATATATTAGTCAATTGTAGAAAAATGGATGTATCGTAACAGTTAGTAAAATTACTAACGTTAGAGAAAATTTTCCAAATGTTGCCAATCGTCTGAAACTTTTGTTTCGCCATCGTGCATTACGGCCTTCGTCGTTTCATCTTGCAACAACCTGATGCAAATTTGATTGACTCGAGGACGATAGCTGTAGCTGGCTGATATTTATTCGCTTGATCTTCGATCGATCGTTCACGAAGCGGCGACGGAGAGAAAGAACGTGCAGCTGCGGTGGATTAAGCGACGAATCACGTGGAAAGCCGTTTTAACGACGATGACGAAGACGACGACGTTCGTCGCCACATTGACGTAAAATCGGCCAAGGCCGATCGGAATCGGAAGAGCAAGTCCGCACGCAGAGATGCTTTCACGTGCGAGAAGATGTTTACAGCGCGATTATCGATCCCTCGAACACCGTGTCAACGTGTCACGACCCAAATCGTTCGCCGTTCCATCCCTTTTATCCGTGCTTTTCCATCGTTCGGAGGAGAGAGATTGATGGAAATCGACGAAAATCGATGAGAGAGGTGAAGGTTAGGTCAAGTTGACTCGACTCGAACCAGAACTTGATTTAGAATCTCTGTGCAACTTTCTTCGGTGAACGCTAACTAATTTCACTTTGACATTAAAATTCCACAATAACGTCGCACAATGTACTTTTCGTTGATTAATACTCTTACTGAACTATGGAACCTTTCAAGATTATATGGGATTTAATTGCTTGACTTAAAACTTGAGAAAAATTGATATTCGGGATATTGTCAAACATTTTCTTTCTGTAAAATATTGCGTGGTAGAAAGACATTTTTTTATTCTATTTCATTATCTTGTTGTTCAGGTCATTTAATATTTTTTGTTTTTTTTTTTATCAGCGATATTCATACTGAAATATCTATAGGAATAGAAATATCGATCGTCAATGATCAACGTGTTAAATGATTGTTATATTATTGTTACACAAACTATAACATATGAATTGTTATAAGTAATTCTGCTTAAGTTACTAGTTTATTTTAAAATAGTTTAATTAAATTGGGCTTAGAAGAAAATCTTTTCAAACTTATTAAGAAAGGTAATATAAATAGATTGATTATATAGTAATATATATACACATATAATATATTACATATCATATAACTATTATAATAAATAAATGTATTAGATATAATGAAAAATCATTTAAATCTCTAGGAATGCAATTATAAATTTCATTCAGTACAATATTCAGCAATAAACAAGGCTATAATTTATAAAATCTGTATAAAAAAAATTGTGAAAGAATTCCTCTAGTAATTCTATATAGTTGAGCAAAATTTTCACTAAAAGAGCCACGAAGAAGGACTTGTCACCGTTACAACCGAATAGTTTCCGATTCAAGAATTAATAAGATACAATTTCGTGAGAGAATTCCACGAATTCAAGTATTCGAAAAGTATAAAGGTTGAAATAATAAGCGACTAAAGAAATGCATGAATAAATAAATGCACGAATGTAATAAATGAATATCACCGTGCACATTAATATGTAATTAACGCTCGCGCGGCGCTAATATTGCGTCACAAATCGTCACGACGATGATGAAAGAAAAAAAAAAAAAAAGAAATATCTATGATAAAAATTAGACTCCAGCAATTTTTCGATCAGTAGCTTTTGCTCGTTGCTCTTCTTACGTTATAGGTTATCTCTGATCGATTAATTGAAAGATTATGTAATTGAACAACTTTATCTGCTGATATTTCACGCTTGAAAAATTTCGTGTTCTGCAAGTTCGACGTCAAATGAATATTTACTTCTCTCTCGTTCTCTACGAATATGAAATAATACCGTGGACATACTTTATTACAAATATTAGAGATATTCATACCGAAATATGTAAAATACAGAGAAAGTAAGATACAAAATACAGAGAGAATAAAATATAAAACAGATATACGATCATTTGATCGACTGACGAGCTCTCTGCGCAAAAAAAGAATGTTCAGTTTGTCACATAAATAAAACAAATTCAGCTCGTTCTAGTCGTGAATATTATATGACCAGTATAAATGAATTTCAATTGTTCGACGAAGTTGAATAGGTACAGGTTGATTCACGTAACTTGCACACCTGAGATAACTTTTAAATTATGCGTCTAATGAAAAAGTTGTTTCATACAAAAGTTGTATGGTTTTAAAAGAGGGAAAACACGGTGTATCAATTTTTTGTGTGCGTTGAGGAGTTTCGAAATTTCCAAGTTTGTTTTCATTTTTTTTTTTTTTAATCGAACCGTACAAAAATTGATACTTTACCTTCCATACAACTTTTGTATGAAACAATTTTTCATTAGACGCATAATTTAAAAGTTATCTTAGGTGTGCAAGTTATATGAATCATCCTGTATATAGTTCCATTCAAAAATTCGGAGCATTCTTCGTATTTTCGGTAAAATAAACATCTTCGTACAATTTTTTGAGAAGAAAATATTGTAATTATAACTTAAATAGAATTAAGTGAAATTTCAGTGTCACAAAAGATATTCACAAGTAAAATATTTATTTATTTGAAATAGCCGCGCTCTAAGGTTTTTGAACAAAAGATCGTATTTAAAAATTACAATTTCAAAACGACGTTGAAACAAAAAAAAAAAAAAATTGGTGAAGAATGAATTTGAAAACTTTGACAAGGTTTTACTGCGTGTCTATCTGTCCATTTTAATTTAATCGTCATTCTTTACATAAAATACTTTATCTACGTCGTTAAAGCTAACTAAAGTATTAAAATTTTATTTTTAGACTGAACAACAACAGCTTCGAAGAATTTCAAGGGAAAAATTTACAATTGTGGTAAAAAGATGTGCGAAATTAGCAAAGCGAATGCCTTTACGTAAGAAAAAGCATGTAGGCATCGTAAATTCAAGGAATTACATTCATATACTCAAAATAACGTATGATCACTCTTGCCCACTCTTACGATTAGGACAATTATTATTACGTTTGTTTAAAAATTAAACAATACTAATTTTATTGAATAATCTATACAATTTGAAATTTATGGTCTGCTCATCGGAGGCTAAGCAGTAATTTATTATAAATAGTATTTAAATTTATAAAAATTTCAAAAATCTAAATGATGAGCAATATTCCTTGGTATTTCGTCTTATATTAAGTCTGATATTAAGTCTGAAAAATGTAGAGTTTGATAACATATAAATTAACTTGAAGAATTGCAAATAAGACTGATTCGAAGAACTGCAGCAATACAATGTCAAATTTATTGTAGTTGATAAAATCTTTCAATTGCACGTGTATTTATAATATGAACTTTCTAGATTCTTTGCTGTACTAGGTATTACTTAACTTTTTCCAACTTCGAAACGAGTATAGTTGGTACTTGTGAACACTTGAGTGGCAATGCGCATCTTCAATTCTTTTAACTCGAAGCAATACACAATTATTTCCTTTCTTGACAAATGAGAGCGCCGTTGTAAGTATTAAAACGCAGAATTGGACTTTCTCTTCGATTATAGACGCAATATTAGCGGCAGACTTCATCATTAAAATATACAGTTTAGGGTACACCAATGTATATTTATTTATTACGCTAAGCTTCCTCCATAATTTAAAAGTCTGGTAGATTGAACGTCAAAGTAAAAACAATACAAATCTTCTAGAGAAACTTAGCCCAGCCTTAGCTTGTTATTTTCCTACAAACGAGTAAAAACATAAATCTCCGACCTATTTTTAAGATTCGAGGCTTAGCATGGTTTAACGCGAGGTTAGACGCGTTAGACAACGAGGAATTGACCGACAGATGGAATAACGAAGAGAGGAATGTAACCGTATGATTGAAATGTATCTGTCCGACCTATATCTAAGTTTCTACGCTAGACTCTGCGTGGCGACTAAATGTGTCAAGGAATTGGAGCTACCAGCAAAACGTACGCGGAATATAAATATTAACGATTAAACAAGCTAAAATGTCGACGACATTATTTTTCTTCTGTAGGTATTTACAGAGTGGCCCATTTTAATCTGTATTTAATCTAAACAAACGTATCTTGGATTTATTACTTGGTAATTAAATTGGCGATTTTCATGCATTTTCATGCGGGAAATTATAATGGCGGAAGACATTGTGACAAATACAAAAATGTATAAAATTTTCAAAATAACGGTACAGTAAGAGATCTGCAGATGATATGCGTATTATGTAATATTCTATCATATATCTATATCTTTTGTTGTTATATAATAGTTTATTGTACACACGTTATCATTCCACGAACTTGTTTTCTTTGATTATGTTTCATATATGGATTATTAACTGATCGATATTAACTTCAGATATTAAAATACAGAAGGAGAATTATAATTATAATTACAATTTTAAAACTTAACTTGAAATCCGCGACTGTTTACACTGTCGCGAATATTAAATGTTACTCAAGCGGGATTCGTAATTTTTTAAATTAATAATTAATCGTTTTAAATTCGTAATTTTTAAATTAATAATTTAATTAATAATTAATTTTTTCAAATTCATAATTTAATTGACACCTAATTTCTTATCTAATAATATTTATAAAAATATGAATTTGGACAAATATTAGCATCCAATTTTTTACAATCACTTTTCGAGTGATTGTAATACACTTCGGCCTCTAAAAGTCTATTAAATCTATCTTCTTCAAATCAATACTCTATTTGTTATTGAAGCTAGCTATACGTTCTCTCATAGTCAACTAATTTCGCTTTCTTGAATAATATCTACAAAAACTATTTTTCGGTTGGATCAATTTCCACTTTGGTTTTTCACAGATACGAGACATCTGCAAGGAGCTGATCCTTACCGATGACCAGCTTCGTATGGTCATGCAAAAGCTGGACGATGAGATGAACAAAGGCTTGTCGAAGGCAACGCACGACGATGCAATCGTCAAGTGTTTCCCGACCTACGTTCAAGACCTTCCCGATGGCAGCGGTAAGAGAACACCGTACGACTCTCACGATCGATAGGAAGTCAATTTATTGTAACGAGTCAGAATGAATCAAGAACGAAGAAAATAACGATCGTGTCTGTTTAATATTGCACCTGCTATGAACCAGCTGCTCTGATTCTCGACGATCAATCTCGAAATGTTTACTTCCGACAGAATTGTTTTAAAATATTCACTGACGTCCATACGTCTTGTATTTCTAATCGTCGATGACGAGGAAACCTATAGCTTATACTACCAAATTTTCTTTGCAGCAACGTAATATGTATAATTTCATCGATCCTGGGGATTTTTAGTTTGGACAACATTACTTAAAAAGTGCATTTTTTAGAAATCTGATATTCCAAAAGTATTAATTGCAAACTATTTATTATTTATACTGTTAACATCAATTTTTTTGACTCTCGATCAGCCCTAGAATTTCACACTGGACAAAATTATTAATTATTAATTATTAAATTAGTATAAATTATTATTTAAATTATCATTAAATTATTATTAAATTATTAATTATTTGAAATATCCCAATTGGAATTATTAATTTACAGAGAAGGGCAACTTTCTGGCTCTGGATCTGGGCGGAACGAATTTCAGAGTTTTACTGATCACCCTCGAGGGCCAGAGTTTCGACATGAAGAGCAAGATCTACGCCATCCCGCAGAGCCTTATGCTAGGCACCGGTACACAACTCTTCGATCATATAGCCCAGTGTTTAGCATTGTTCGTCAAGGATTTGAACCTTCAGGATCAGGTTCTACCCCTTGGTTTTACGTTTAGCTTCCCGTTGGATCAACAAGGGTTGACCAGAGGTTATCTAGTCAGATGGACGAAGGGCTTTAATTGTAGCGGTGTGATCGACGAGGATGTGGTCGGTCTACTCGAACAGGCCATCGAGAGAAGAAGCGTGAGTACTTTCTCTCCACTCTGTAATTAATTTGATTCATCTCTTTCTCATTCTCGTTAATTAGTTAACAGTGTTTTTAAAATGAAACCGCCATTACGATTAAAATATTCACATTCACTTGAGCGAGCCACTGTCTCTTTTAAACTGCTAAACTTACGAATGAAACTCAATTTTAAAGAATTGCGAGGTAAAATTCCATCCCACGGAGATTCTATTTAAAAAAAAAAAAAGAAAAAAGATTATGTTTAACCTGCGACGGATTGACTACGTATAAAGAAACAGAACAATCAACACGGACAAGTTCTAAATTGGTCAGTGATTTCGCAACGTTCGCGTTAATGAGAGGCAAGAGTCGAAAACAATGGCGGGGACGATTTAGTTGCATGCGTACATAACCGGCCGTGGCTAATTGCAAAACCATGCTAACTATGATTTATCGTGCAGGACGTGAAAATCGAGGTGTGCGCCATTCTAAACGACACCACTGGCACTCTGATGTCGTGCGCATGGAAAAACAGAAATTGCCGTATTGGACTGATCGTCGGTGAGTGAAAAAAAAAAAAATATTTTTTTTCCCTCAATTATCAATTGTAAATCATAATGAAATATCTTTCATATCCGAACGTCCCCATTGTCTGAATTATTTAACATTTGAGCGTTTCGCCATTCTGTTACACAAACAGAACGTTTAATTATTAGATTGGCCAAGAGTTTTAAGTAGGTAAAACATACTAAAGGTTAAAGCTTGTTTTCGAAGAAGAGAAATGCACGATTTGCCACTGATTTCAAAATATTATCCAAAATATCTTCGACGTGTTACTTTCGAAAAGGAAAGAAAAAGACCCCGCTACATTCTCATTTTTATCGTTCAAAATTCGGTTTGTATCTCTTCACGACGGGGGTGTGAAAGCATCGTGAAAAACCTTCTCCAAGATCTCGTTTTTTCGCTTTGAAGGGACTGGCACCAACGCTTGTTACGTGGAGAAGACGAAGAACGTGGAGTGCGCGATTCCGGGGAACTACGTGCCGGAGAAACCGTACATGCTGATCAACATCGAGTGGGGTGCGTTCGGCGAGGGTGGAGTTCTCGATTTCATTCTGACGGAGTTCGACCGCGCCATCGACGAGAACTCGATCAACCCGACGAAACAGTTGTTCGAGAAGATGATCTCCGGCATGTACATGGGAGAATTGACCAGGCTGGTCCTCGAGAAGGTGGTGAACGCTGGGCTGCTGTTTGGCGGAAAGTGCCCCAGCGATCTTAAGAAACGGGGCAAATTCTTTACGAAATACGTTTCAGAAATTGAGAAGTAAGTAGCCAATATCGTAGCCAAAGCCTTTCTCTCCAAAGTTCTCTGCACCCGTAATGTTCCTTTCGTTAACTTTCCAATGCTTGGAGACTTTCTATAATCTTCAGTCTGACGAGCAAGAGGAAAGAAAAGGATAAAGGAAAATTGTATCGCGTAACGAATTATTCTAATGTAATTTCTGTTGTAGTGTAATAGTATTATTTACTTTGAATTCTTCTGTAACTTTCAGTACAATGAATAACGATGGATGGCTTAGGATGATAAAGGGCTCTTTAATTAATTATTTTAATACAATTTCCATCGTCAAATGTAATGACAGTATTATGAATTTAATAGACGATTTTCTCTGACGGCGAGTAAAAGAATATAAATCAAAGACAAAATAACATAAGCCAGAGGTGGCTAACTGGCGGCTGGCGAGTCCTTCTCCCCCCACTTTTTTCCCGCTGTGCATGAGAGAGTGGGGAAATTTCAATGTAGTGGAGAGATGCAGTGGAGGGGGTAACGCTAGCGATCAGAAAAGTAGGGGTAAGGGCTCGCGGGCCGCCAGGTAGCCATCTCTGACATAAGTTCAGTATCAGTAGATTCGAATTTTTACGCATTTATAGAAAACTCACACGCGTTCACAGAATAGAATATAATATGAGAAAATATTATTGAGAAAATTAAAAAAGCGTACACGATATCGAGATCTTATTTCTCTAATTGCGTTTTCAAAGTCTAGTCATTCAAGAGAATGGTATATATATATATATATTTTGATAAAATCTAATACTTGTTCTTATATTGCACTTTAAACATAAATATTACAATATTGCTATTTCTGTGAAATTAATCACTTTCATTTATACTTCTTTGCCCAATTACTATAGAATTATAAACAGAATTGAAAGATTCGTTTTGTTATATTGTATTTGCCATTAATTTTACTTTTCGCGCGTTTCAGCGACGCTAAAGGGAAATACACGAATTGTCGCGAAGTACTAGCCGAACTGGGGCTACGAAATGTAAGTGATCAGGATTGCGAGAACGTCAGGTACGTTTGCTCCGTAGTGTCGAGGAGGGCAGCTCATTTGGCCAGCGCTGGGATCGCTACGTTATTGAACAAAATGGGCGAAGACAACGTCACAGTCGGAATTGATGGCTCGGTCTACAGATTCCACCCATATTTCCACGATCTTATGACCGAGAAAATAAGTCAGTTGCAGAATCACAAGGTGAGATTAATAGAGTACAAAGGGTCTGCTCGACGAATAAAGAAATAAACAAACGTGCACGTAACAAAATCCCACCCACAGGGTGTCTTAAAGAGAAGAATTTTGTCCAAGTCACATGAATTTTGATGATATTCGATCAATTCGACGGCAAAACATTCGATGCAAAGTATTTACGCGTGTTGAAATTTTAGGGATCGATTTTTAAAAAAATTTTGAGTGATTCGCCAGTTATCTTTTATCGTCCGGTTCAAATCTGACGATTTGGACAAATTCGTTCGATAAACTTAAACACTGTTTTATATTAATTCTGTTTTCTGTTTTCCAGTTCGATTTAATGCTCTCGGAGGATGGCAGCGGTCGTGGAGCGGCGCTGGTCGCCGCAGTGGCTGCCGGGCACCGGTGAAGACAACGGCTGTGCCGCGTCTTCTCCTCAGCTTAGATTAAATTAAGTTATGTAACGCAGTAACGAATACAAATTTGACACACCATTAATAATAACACGTACACAGAAAATGCATGAAGTCACGCGTATGTGCCGAGGAAGAAGTCGAAGATACCTAGTTGTTAAACGTAACTAAAGGAAGAAAGCGAGTTTGTGCGCGCGCGAGAGAAAGAGAGAGAGAGAGAGAGAGAGAGAGAGATGTGCAAGTAGAAGAACGAGTGAATACAGAGAGCAAGGTGGAGAATGAGTGAAGTGTGAAAATACGAAAGAGAGAGAGAGGGAGAGAGAGCTGCATATACGCACTTGTACATAGAGCTAAAACGTAGCCTAAACGCGCGAAATGCGTGGAAGCAGCGATACATGGAGAGAGTACTTACGAATCGTAATTACGAAGCATATTCACGACGTTAGATCGGGGAAGAAAGCGATTTATAACGAAGCGTTCTCGCTGGAAACGCGGTTGTACACGAGTTGCAAACGAATAAAAGGAATAAAACGAAAACGTGTGACACAAAAAGTCCTATTACTGCCATAAGTGCAGCCAGATACGTATACGCAGTCAGAAACATGTGAAAGAAAAATGAATACACGTGCGCCTAGATGAAAGGAATTTGAACAAAATTTGAAAGAATTTATAATCGTCTTTCTTTACTTTTTGGCTTCTCGAGGATGAAAGGCTGCGTGAATTTATCGGCGGTACACGCGTGCGCCTAACTCCGGAATATATTTCGTATTCGTATCGTAAAATATATATATATATATATATATATATATATATATATATATATATATATATATATATCGACGACGCACCGGTGGTCGATTTCCGGTGTTCCTTCTTGACAGAACAGGCACAAAACAGGCGACTGGTCGGCGATCCCGCAAGGCCAGCCCCCCATTTCCGTTTCACCGAAAGATGTCGCTCCGAAAATCTTCAGGGAAGAGGATAAAGAAGAAAGCAAGGGATGGAGCGTGGTTCACATAGAGCGATTTATAAATTATTTGTATTGTCGTTCCTTTGTCCTATCGGTGATCTTACTGTGACACTTGGATGCGTAAAACCGAGAGAGAGAGAGAGAGAGAGAGAGAGAGAGAGAGAGAAAGAGTGAGCAAATGAGGGTTAATGCGTTATGCGTGAAAGAAGTTCAGTATGCAAAAAAAAAAAAAAAAAACGAGATTATATATTATATATTAATATCGAGATGAGATAAAAAAAAAAAAGGAAAAAAATGAATAACACGTAAGAAACGAAGAGACGAAGAGATAGTGCGGACAGATATTTAGAGGAAGTGTGTTTTGCAACAGTTTATTAGAGAAAAAGGAAAAAATGGAAAAAAAGAAAACAGTTGTAGTATCGTTTGAAGTATTTTTAGATTTATACGTCACTCTTATTGTTACGATGACGACGATGACGATCGTATACACCGACAATTTTCTAGCAATGTCTCGAGAACGACGATCCCTCGAACACGTTCGCATCGATGTCGCGACTTAAATTGTACAACGTACATTATTAAAGAAGAAAAGAAAAAAAGAGAGAAAAAAATATTTAAAAAAAGAAAAGAGAGAGAAATAGAAGAGAAGTGTGTGAATGAGCGCGTATATGAATGAGAGAGGTTGATCACGAGTCGTGACTCTCGATACTGTGTCTTCCCGTCACTCTCTCGTGTCGAGAGGCGAATATTTCTTTGGAGTTCAAAGGTCGATGGAGCAGAAACAATAAACGTGCCGTTTCCAGAGAAAATTTAGACGGTTAGCTTTACTATCGTTTTGTTGTCGCGGAGTTGTAATAAAAACAAGATACTTGGACTCCCACTTCTCCAGTACTTTCTTTCACTTTCGATCATCTTGCCATCCATCATCAACTTCACGCGATATATAATTTACATTTCTGAAGAGAGCGTCGCTCGACATCGCTATCTGGCGACCTCTTTGAGTCAGAATAATTTACAATATATCATTACGAACGTTACTCAATACTCAAATTCTTTTCTATACGCTTTGTATTTATAGCGTATCATGGCATCATTCTTATAAAAAGCGAGGTCTGCCTCATCGAGGATCGTTCATCGATATCATAAAGACGCGACGACAAAAAAATATTAGGCGAATCCTTTTCTTTCGTAACTACGATATTAAAAAATAAAATTTGACGATAGAAATTGATTAAGAGGGATTGCAAATGTTGCAACGTTCTTAATGAGTCAATGTACGTTTAATTAGTCACAACTGAGCTTTTATTCAAAGGGAAATTCATAAGAAAATTCTCTAAATTAATACGTCTTAATGGTTCTAGCTTCTGAGGAAAATGCACTTGCATCGTTTTTCTCCTACACACTACATGCACGATCATTTGTTCGTGTCAATATAAATTGCATACATGTTAAAGAAGGAACAGCTGAACCGAATTATGTACACCACGTCAACTACTATTATTAAAACTAATGAAAGCAAGTGGAGGAGATAATTAGTAGATGAACTTTTGTTGTCAGAGCTATCTGATTACTTTATCCTCCGGACAAACAAATTCTATTACATCAAATGATACTGATACCCCTTATCTATATAATATCAATATAATGATTCGATTAATTATAGATATCTATATAATTAAATGAAACAATAGCTGGATATTTTCAAAGATTTTAATTTACAAAAAAAAAAAAAAAAAATTCGCATTTAATCACGAAAACAAACAAAAGAAAATCATTCAGCCGAGTACTGTACGAAAATGAAAATAAAGATTTGTAATCTCGTGTCTATCGACGCGAACGTGATCGAGAAGGAAGAACTATCGCTCCTCTATCTTTGCTCCAAAGTATTTCCTCCTGCCGCCTCGCGCGCGACTCGAAAGCGCGGCCAAGTGTCTCGCGTCGGAGTTTTCGATCGTCATTCGACCTGTGTTCTTGTATTACGAAACATGGTGGCGGGAAGAAACGTGTCGGTCGAAAACTTCAGCCAGGAGAGGCAGGAACGTCATCGAGTGGTCGTCGACGCGACTAGAGACAGCGTCGTTGCTGTACATGTACTTATTTTCGTCGTCGCTGCGATAAGAACCACGCGACGTGATAAAAATCGCCTGGATGGTGAAATCGATCTGTCGGCCGAGAGACGGAGGAAAGAGGAAAAGAGGATTCCTTCGTTGTCGTTTCACCTGAGAGAGGAGGATTCTCTCTCTGTTTCGTTTCGAGTTTCCTCCAATCGAACTGTATCAAACTCCTTCGTTTCTCCGATCACTCGCTAGTCTCTGGTCACCGATGCTGCGACGACTATTGAGACTGAAGGTGGTGAGTAGCTCTGCCGCGAGTATAGTTAGCGCGATCACGCGGACCCACGTTCGATTTTTAACGTCGACGCCGGGCGTGAAGAAAAGCGTCGTGGCATATTTTAATTATCGTGGGGCACCCGTGATGACCGGCGACGCGATTTCGTTGTGATTTTGTCAGTGATGCTGTGCGATCTCGTAGTTTTCAAGTTACTAACAGACTGTGGACCTACCCAGAGAGTATCATTGAAACAGTAGAACGGCAGAACGGTTGTTTTATGTACGAAATATTGTAAAAAGCAGTGTGTACATATTATGTGTGATTCGAATTTCCTATAAATGCACAAGCGTCCGCGGTCTATCTATCAGAAACTTGCTTAGATCTGTACTTCTGTTCAAGAGCCTCAGGACGCTTTTTATTTCTAATATTCAACGTTTACGCGAGGTAATAAAATTTTCTCAATTGCACGCGTTTTATAACGCAGTTGTTGACACATTAACTTTACAAACTATCATTTCATTTTTCCAGTTTTTATATGAATGTGATACTTATCCTGAGACTTTTCAGCGAGGTGTACACCGCTTGCTAAAAAATTTGTAACATTAACTTAGGAATGAAATTGTACGATTTCTTTTTTTATTAACTCATTTTACAAAAGACGGTAAATAATTAGGATATATTAAGACAAATTTTTGGATTTGTACAATCCTGAATTTTAAATGTCCCAATTCCGACTAGATTATACTCATTGAAATTGGCATTAGAAATTACTTTGATACTACAGAAACCCAGAAACTGAATTCTAATTATTAAAATTGATATTCGAAATTATTAGAAAGTTAGGAAATTGGACTACAACTATTGAAAATTATTGAAATTGATATTAGAAATTAAAATATCAAAGATTATTATATGCTAGAGACTAGAAATTTTTGAAATATCGGACAACCACTCTGAAATTACTCTGTAATGTAAAAATAAGTCGAGCAAGTAAAATTTCGCCGTTTAAGTCTTCGTTGTTAAATGGTAGACATAAAGCGTTCACTGTTGCGAAATTTGAACGACATTGCGTCACGCGTCACGCGTCCAAAAAAGAATTAACGTGACAGTGAAAAAAGAATGACAAAGTACGAGTATGGTCGCACAGAGACAGAGATTCCTACAACGCGAATAATTCCTTTTTAGTCGAGCATCGAATTACTATATTCGTAAGAGGTTGCGTAAGGAAAATTAACGGCTCCGAAAGACGCGATGTCCGTGCTATTAATCGATTTGAATCACAAATAGATGCTAAATCGTTCGATGAGATATCTATTAGAGTATTTAGTAGGAGACACGTTGTTTTCCTCGATCAATAATTAAATCAATTCGTTTCGAAGGAGCGGATAGCGCTGTGAAATATCGTCAAAGACAGCGAATCGAACACATCGGCGGAGCCTGAACCGCTTTTCAGAGCGTCGTGACATTTTTTTATATTTACGCACTGGTTAATGTTGTTGAAATGTGTACACGTTGAAGGTGCAAAATAAAAGTCATCGTAAATCCTGTTGCTCACGATCGATGTGCCATTATTATACCGCGTTTGTACATTGAGAATATATATATTTTGGGGCTCGATCGATGTTTCTAATATATATATATTTAATTTATGTACTTAATAAATATTATTTAGATATTCAAGTTTCGTTACGTTTATACATATCTAATAGCTTGATGTACCGATAAGATAGAATTTCTAGTCCTAAAGAAATAGTGTAGTAAGTAGTTTCACTTGCGAGTGGGAGGGGTTACAATAAAGATAAAGTTCCTGTTGAAAAGATATACTATTTGCATTGATAAGAAAAAAAGGAAAGAAAAGAAAATACAAATTGGGGACAAAGATAATTTTACGTTTCTTAAAATTAGAATATGAAAAGATTGATATATCTCTTGAATTTATCAGAATCTTTGATTCTGATAAATGTATATATATTCGTAATAGCTCTATTGCAGCGTGTAGACAAGTTTCTTATCAGTGATCGACCGATTTGGATTGTACTGCAAAAATGATCGAATAGGAAAAATACCGGTGATAAGAAAACAAGAAATTTCGTTAAACGTTTCTACATTTAACTTCAATCATATTTAACATTAGTCTGGACTCGTATAAATAACCTGAACAGGAATATTAAAGTATTCAGAGTACAAAAAATTAAAATATTCATTCGTTTCAAATTGCTAGATTTGCATCTGATAATTTCTCAACCTTGAACAAGCCTAATCAAAACGTAGTTCCTGTATCGATAGTATCTTCCTTGCACGCCGCCAGAGGGCGAACGAACCGTGTTTATATTTGCAAATTTATTACTCTTCCGATGAGAAATTCCACGTATATTTAAAACACATTCCTACTTTTCCTTGAAAGAAACCTACTCTTTGACGAGGCTAATTGAAACGAAAGCACGTCTCTCCTTTCGATCGTCGTGCCGACGTCATAACGATAACACCGACCTACCACCTGGTGGCAGCAGACAGGAAACAAAACACGTCAAAGCCGCAAAGTTTCGCTGCCGCAGCGACAGTGAGCGATTGCACGGCGATACGAGAGCGAACAATGAGAAATTATGCAGAAGTGGGTGAATATCACGCGAGAAACGGGCAGGAGGCGCGTGCATAGCGTGAAATAATCGTGTAGTAAGATCGGACGGTGCATGAAAATGATTAGTGGTATTCAAATCGCGCTGAAGAATGCCATTGACGTGGTAAGTGATAACCCCGATAAATTCCGCCGTTTCGTCGTTGGTTCTCTTCCCGATCAACGCGACTGCGTACCACGTTCGCTATTTGTTCGACCAAAAAAGAAAGAGAAAAAAAAAAAAAGAAAAGAAAAACACGCACGTTTTTATTCGTAGAGCATAATTAACGTAGAGCAAAAGACGTTTTTAGGCTGTATTCATACATCGGTGGTACTATTTGCAGAAACAACGGTGTTTCTTCAAACGTCTTCGACTGTCGCATTCCATCACACGTGCCATTGTATTTATTTACGTTCTTCGTAGGTATATCGATTTGCTGCATGCCGTGCCTTTTGACCATGGTCGATACGCCGCACTGTCCACTCCTGTGGATTTTTTCTTCCCGTATGTTGTGCGCGCACAGATCGATTTTTAAATCGCGCCCGTTTGGCGCCCGTGAAAAAGATCCAAATAAACGCAACGGCGTAGCGGCAATGCCGGCCCCGCGCGAAACCTGCCCATCACGATCTCGACACATCGAGAGGGACGTCCTCTGATCGTTCCGAACATGTACGCCGTTATATTTAGCGACTTATGTAATTATTTCAAGTTACATCTGCATACGAGACCAGCCGTGGCTCATTAGCATGTGCACGTTTAATAACCTGCCGTGTTTTGTGTCCTACCTGTTTTTCCTCAACGACGAGACGAACGATGTAACACGATCGCGCCAGTCGACGTTCCGATTATCACGTTGCGTTTTCACCGCCACGATAGGAAACGACACTCACGAGTTTTTATCGTTTGCAGATAGCACCGCCTGCCACGCCGCTGCAAGACTTCACCTATCATTGGAAACAGCTTATGAACTTTTATGTGAACCATCTGACGGATTGCAAGGTGCCCATACAAACGACGGGCATACCACGGCATTTGGACAGATTGCTGGAGATATTGCTGGATGAGGAGAAGGATGAGACGGAGCCAGGGCCGTGTCTCGAGTACCTGTTGCAGCACAAACTACTGGACCTGCTGGCCACGCTCGCCAGCGCGGAAACCCCACCCGGGATGAGAACCATCTGTTTGTCGTTTCTGAGAAAGTTATTAGGAAGATCCAAGTACCCTTTGTTGCATCACACGTCAATTTATGGGCCGGTGCAGCGACTGATCGGTCTCTGCAATGGGAGCCCACCGTCGCCGATGGAAGCTGAGGAGGTTCAGTTCCTCCTTACGATTTGCTTCCTAGTTTGTAAGTATCCCCACGTGACCAACATCATAAACGACGCGCCGACCGTTCAGAGGCACAACGCCTCCGCCTCCGGAAGGAGTTCCGAAAGGATGGAAGTGGAGAAGGTCACCTACATCCCAGCCAGACGAAGAAACAACTTTAATCCGTTGTTCGAACCGTTGGACACCCGAGCGGTCACGTTGATCAATCCCAACTTGTTCAGCTCGGAAAATGACAGGAGACTTAGATTTGCGGAATCTAACAGGCCATCTAGTAAGACTGAAACGACGAGAGGATCATCTAGCCAATCGAACGGATCGATATCTTCCAGAGACGTGGAGAACGCCTCGCAGTCCTCTAGTCCGATAATCCAAAAACCGATATCCGATGAGAGTTCGGTTGTCGCCGCGTCATCTTCCGACTCTCAGGACTATGACGTCTCGCAGAAGGGCGAGGATGTCGCTCTGATGAACGAGATAGACACACATTTGCAGAATCTTCAGGATCTGCGATTGGACGTTGAGTATGGAACTGCTTACGAGGACTCTAATTGCGCAGAAGGGGATCAGAGCCTTCTGAGACCGGAAACGCCACAGAAATCGAAATGCCTTCTATTAGATGCCTTGTTGAGTTACATAAATACCGCGGTAAGCCACGGATTTTAATACTTTCACCTAAACTGGAATCGTCGGTTGATATCCTCGTTTAAAATACTGAGAATTTATTGGATCTCTTAAATGAAAAAAAAAACTTGAAACTCTTATATATATATGAGAAGTTTGAAGAAATATTAATTCTTTAAATTGCTAATTAATACTGTTTAATTAAAACTACTGTTTATTAAAATCATAACAACTTTTTATATCACTTTGTTACTGAAATTCTGCATTAAATTCAATACTAATAAAAATTATCAATCAAGTATTCCACCAACATGATATTACCATAATAAAATATTCCACATTGAAGATTATTTTAAGTTCTAAAGTGCAAAGAAAAATTTACAGACGAAAAACGGTCCCTTTTTCAGGATAATACTGTGAGGATAAGAGCCTGCGAGGGGATAATGGTCCTTGCATCACTGGACGATTCATCGTTCGCTCAAATGGTAGCAAACAGCGACTTAGCAATCCTGATATCGAATAGATTAGAGAACCTGTTCAACGCCATTCCAGCGCACGTCGATCCAGCAGAGATCGACGGCGTGGACGTCACTTGGGGTTTAGATTCGCCAGCGTGGACAAAGGAGAAGAAGTTTTCTGGATGCAGACAGGTCGCCGCGTTTTTCATGTGGTTCGATTACTGCAATCAACTGATAAGGGAAGCACATCCGGACGTGGCGGACGCGCTGGCGAAAAGCATTAGAGTGAACTTTTTAGAAAAGATCGTGACACCAGCACTGGCTGAACATCATGTTGTTCTTATTACTGCATTGGTTACTAAATGCTTGAAGGAACTAACATCTAATGCCTTATGTATAGGTTTGTATATAATTGTATATAATTGTAAAACGTAATTGTTTCAATGTAATTATTAGAATTAATGCAACCCTTTCTTTGTTTCTTGTAAATTAATATTAGTGAAAGTTACTCTTTTTCTACGCTGATACATCGATGATTTTTTTTTCAGAAATAAGTTATTGGCTGGTGGGCCAAGACAGAGGCCCAGAGATACCAAACGTGTGGACGTCACCTGTACTACATAGGCTGATAGATAATTGTTTTACGGACAGCGAGGATTTAACGCTAGAAACGTTAAAACTATTCGAGGAGATGATAGAGAAACGAAACGAACACATACTGCATTGTCTCGTGCTGGTATACTTATCGACGCGAGGGTATTACGATAACACCGCAGCAGATAGTGCAATTGCATCTTGGAGCGATGAGGAGGATGAGAGAGAGAGGGAGAAGAAGGGTTCGCTAGATCTCTCCTACGAGCAAAGCCACAGTCGAACATTAGCACCTAGTAATATTCATAGAATTGTAAATTGGTAAGGAATTAACAAAAAGTCGCACTATTACACGTACAAAAAGAAACGCTTCTGTCGAGAAAGAAATTTTACAACAAAAACATTCGCTGTCATTCGAACAAAGTGATTCAATCGTATACGTACGTGCTTATAGTACTTGACAAATGTGACATGGAATGAAAAAAAAAAAAATACTTTGAACGTCAACAATGAATGTCAATCAATCGCTTCAGTAAGTTACCGAGTGACTATGTTGACAAAGTTTTTTTCATTGTATGTGCTAAAGACCTTTGAACGTTCTGAAGACTTTTTTTTTCACATAACGATATTTGCACATGTAATTGAAACGGTGTGCCGTGGAATTTTTAACGTAATATCGACCTCCGTTTCAGTTTCCTGTCCCTGATTCCTCGTTATCTACAAACGGACACGGATGTGAACAATTACGAGCGGTACATGGCTGACTTAGAACGACAGTATTCCACTGTGCTGACAGACTGCTCGTTAATGGCGTGGCCGTTAGAGGCGGTAACTATAGACGATTCTGCAAGTTCCGATTCCAGGCCGGAAGCGGACCATTGTTCCGTAAGATTTTACATGGGGCCGTTTATGACGATGCTTTTTGAGAAAGTGACGAATATACCAAGACAAAAGTACGAGGTCAACCTACAACTGACGGTGGTGATCTCGAGGCTCGCGCTCTTGCCTCATCCGTACCTGCATGAATTTTTACTAAACCCGTTGTTACCGTTAGCGCCCGGCACGAAGAATTTGTTCACCTGTTTGCAAAAGGTTGTCAAACAGTTGGTGAACGAGGTACCAAAGACGCCGGATCATAAACAAATGCTGAAGGAGACGCGAGAACGATTACTAGAAGATTGTTCCCACGAAGGGTAAATGTGCGAAGAATTGGAAGGAATTGCATCGTTCGTTGTTTAGTGATTTTAGAAGATTAAATTACATTTCGTAATTTTCAGGGAAAAGGAGAATATTCTGTTCGAAAGTGTGATCGTGACGGAAGAATTCTGCAAGGAACTGGCTGCGATAGCATACGTGAAATACCACCATTCTATGTGATAATTAATATCAAAGAAAGCGATGTAAATTATAGGATTTAATTACAGTACTATGGCCGAGTAAATTTACTTAATGATCGATCAGTCAGTCTAGATACGCTTAAATAGAAAATTGTTTTTTGTGATGAATTTGTAAGATATACGTATACCTTAAGTATAGCGATTATTATATTAATGTTAATATTTACAATCACTTATTTGCACAATTTAACTTGTGACTCTAATAAAGAAACTACTGAAAAACCATTTCTGATTTGATCATTTTATATACAGAAATTTTCTATAATTTGTAATCTCAACAACTTGAATTACTCCTGTAGTAATTATAAAAAGATATTTAAACTGGAATATAATTTTCATAAGTGCAACTAGTTTCAAAGTCATATGATTCATATCAGAGTAAGTTATTAAAGCTACTTCATATTGAAATAAGTGACATGACACGTGTACTAGTTTACAAATGGAAAACACATCAGCCATTTGTATGCAATTACTTATAAATAATATAACATCATATTTAAGTGATAATACTTGCAAAAGTACTTCAGTTGTTAAGTTGAATAATGAAAATTTGGCAATAAATGGTGAATTGTATTTTTTACCTAGCCTTAAAGTATGGAAGAACTTGTTGAAAGACACAGACAAATGTGATGAAAAGTGTACAACAATTTTACAACATTTCCTGTATGTTCGAAATGGTGAAACGGATAAGGCTGATGCGAATATTGCAGCAAACCAGGTAAAATATAATAGAAAATGTAAAGGAAAGAAACATAACCTAATTCTAAACATAATGGATATTGATTTTTGTTTTGCAGGTTTTACAGTTGCTAGTATCATCGAGTAGTAATTGGCCTATAAAATTACATAAATATTTTTTAGAGAAGGAAAGAGTCTGTTTGTTTTTACAACGTACTCCTCTTATAGAGAACTCAATTAAGGCAGTCATAACATCTAAGAATAACTTTGGGAAAACTTTCTCAACCAACAAGATTTTTGCTTTCAAATCACTTCAAGATAAGGAATCAGAACTCACAACTAGAAGATTACACCTAATACAACGTGTCACTGAAAAGATTTTGACCCTTCATGGCTGTGAAATATCAGAGAAGCACTCTGATTACAAATTTGTATTTACTTCTAAGTCGCAGGGAAATTTAGAAGAAAATTATGAGAAGTGTGTATGTGGTGTTGTGAAAAATACAGAAACAAAGTGTAAAGAGACAGAATTAACGTACGAACAGTATGTTAACAACAAAATTAAAGAATTGAAAGCATTAAAAGAACATAAATATTTCGAAGCACAAAAATTTAATGCAGAAATGGAAGAATATTTCGTCGAGAATCTTGCAAAAGCAATAGTGACATTTGAATTATTATCTGTAAAACCAAGTCGTCCTGTTTTTATTGGATCCAACATTGCAACTGATAAAAATACTACAAACACAAAAGGTTTTTTCAATTCAGAATTTTGCATGAATTTTTTAGAACTTGCAAAAAGACAGTTTCTACTATTGTTAGTTTTTAGGTGCGTGTTTTATATTATATAATGCAGCAAGAATAACATCCATTATTGAAAAGTACAATGATAAAAGATTAAAAGGAGAATATCCTGATTTACCATGTGTCAACGATACAGATTTTTCTTTGTTAAACCAAGAGGTATTTTATTTAAATAACACTAAATTTTCAGTATTTTCAATTAACAAAAGAAAATAGACAATAACTTAACAACTATTTATAAATTCTAGGAAGAATGGGAACTTGTATATAACTTTATCATTGGATATCAACAAATGATAAACCATTGTGTAAAACATAATGCTGTCTTCCAAACAAATCCACAAGTTATTTGTATATTTTTGTCCAAATTGTGTCAAAAATTTAGCATCTATTATCGTAGAATTAGAATTTTAACTGTAAGTTTTATTTTTAATCAGTATTAATAATTGACTTAAAAACCTCATTGCATAATGATTTATTATTTATATATTCTTGTCTCACTATAGGAAGCATATGACCATTTGGTTCCAACAATGATTGCCAGATTATACATGCTACATGCATTACAAATTGTGCTTCAAAATGCACTTGCTTTCCTTGACATTATCCCTGTATCTCGCATGTAATTTAATCATGGAAGAATTTTTTTTATCAAAATTATACGTTTGACAAATTAATGTACAAAATGATACAAAAAATAAATAATTGTATATTAAAAAAAATAATAAATAAATGAATCAATTAAACAAAGTTGATTTAATTTTCTAATTTTTATTTTACAAGTTTTCAAGTCGTTTAATTTAAATTTGTTTTGTTTTTTCATTTATAACAAAAAATGAAGGAATAGTGCAATTCTAGATAATAATTATTTTTATAAATTTATTGTTACTTTTTTAATCAGTTAAAGATTTATTAGATTAGTCAATTATTTATTGAAAGACATGATAAAACTAGACTTTGTTAAATCATTCTTATTGTATTACCTAAGTAGATGTGTATCTGCATATATGTATTATATATTTATAATTATACGTATATTTATTTCAATGATATTTTTTAATAATTACCGAATCAGTTACATTACAGACAATATTTTATCGCGTGTGAATGTGTTAATTTTAAATATATTACGTGAAAAGATAACTAGCAAAAATAATTTTCCGTTATAACATAACAAACGAAAATAATAATTACATTTTCAAATAACGATGAGTGAAATAGTAAAAACAATCACAATACATATAACTGTAAATACACGTGTGTATTTTTTCAAATGTAATTCTTTATTTTTTAAATTAAATACAATTTAAACAGAAATTGCGGATTTTCTTGACTTACCAAACTGTGTCTTTGAAGAAATTTTTCTAACCTTTGATGATAATCGAAGAAATCTGCAAATTACGGTATTTTTTTCTCCCATGACATGCATTTATCACTACGATAACGTATAAAATGATCAAACTTCAATAAATCATATCGCAGAACCGTTACGTTTAAACACGGTATCGAACGCTGTACTGACCTCGAGAGACTCACAGGTATCGGTTTGAAAAACTACGGGCGACGCCAAATAGAGTGCAAAAGGTGGCGCGATTATACGAATTTTCAAACGCACTTTTCTTAAATTTCGTAACACAAGGAACGATTAAACAACGTTCCGAGAGCTACTGCATTTAAATTATCTTCCATAACGTATAAATTTTCTCATAATAGGATTGAATAGATTGCAACGAATCGAAGGGAGTGGAATTTAAACGATTAAAAAATCGATCCTATTATTATAAGCTAATTTCCGATGCAATCTCGGTGACATCGAGTAATTGATCGACACGTTACTTTCTCACGTCTAATTTGTCAGTTTCAGCGTATTGGTAAACGGAAAATGGGAATACCTACCAGAAGGAATATCGCACGTGAAAAGTACACGCACGATAGCGTGTAAGAGAGCGAAGTGAGGAACACAGCCAGCTGTTTGTTTTGTTTTCGGGCATGAGATTCACGTGACACGACCGGTGCTGGTGGCGGCCCGCACGGCAGCGTCGTATTGTCAACGGTGATTGGCCGAGGCAGTGCACTCGCGCACCGCTCAGCCAATCAGCGGCATCGTAAGAAACGACGTCTGGTGCTTCTACGGTGCAGAGACGTTTGACATCGATAAATGCGTGAGAGTGCTCGCGAAGTGCGGAGGTATCAGGCTGTCGCTCGCTCGTCGGCTTGTCGTCGTCGTCGTCGTCGTCGTCGCCGCCGCCGCCGTCGTCGTTGGGGGCTCGTTGGCTCGTCGCCGTCGGTCAGTTTCGAGCCTTCTTTTCTTTGTCCTTTGACTAGCCCCCCCACTCTGTACCCGCGAAAACCTGTGCAGAGAAGTAGTGTTAGGCAGTGCCGATCCACACACAGTGTCTGTCTTTCCATCGTCGCTCAGCTGCATCTACTTTCGTGTGTGAGCGAACGTACCCGGCGTGCCAAATGTCACTAGGTGGACGATAGAGTCGAAATACATTCGATCCCCTCGACGTCGCTTCGTACGTACGTACGCACGCGTTTCGTGTATGTACGTGCATGTGTACAGTACAGGCCGGACAGGTAGCACACGTTCACGTTTAGGAATGACTGTTGTCAGAAACGAGTGTCGTTAGTGTATCGCCAGATATGCGGTACAACACTCGCGTGATCCTCAGGCCGCTTCGTGTATACTGCGTATATCGCTCCTACTCGCGTACTCGCGTTGACGTACATTCGCACACAAATTTCTGCGAACGTGTGTATGCACCCACCATGTTGCCGTTGTTTCTTGTATGGGAACCACACTCATTACCGATCACACACAACATACATACACATACACACGCACCTATACACGTATCGACGCGCGTGTGCGACAGGCATGTTGCGCGACGTAACGTGCATGTGTACGAAAAGTCGCTTGCAATCCAGCCCGAGAACGGAATCAAGGGAGCGCCTTTCTGTGTGCTCATCGTGAACGGGAAGCCAGTACGAGCATTACCGTGATCGGCCGCGTATCATGCGAGTGTCTAGAAGATTTGCCCCTTTTGTGTGTCTCGCGCGTGACAACGTACGTTTTCTCTGACGAGTAAATTGCGGTTTTATTGGCACACCGCTCGACTCGGTTTTTGCGTGTGTGTGTGTGTGTGTGTGTGTGTGTGTGTGTGTGTGTGTGCGTGCGGTGTGTGCCCGTCTGCGTACCGCAAACTGCGTATTGCGTGAGTTTCACGGGAATCGTTGACCTCGCGACCAAGTTGACCGAGTTACGCGCGTGGATCGAGAAAAACAGTGAATAGAATCGTCCGCGACCGAACTCGATTTCCTCCCGAAAACAACAACACATTTCGACGCTCCGTTTTCGGCGCTCCGTTTTCGACGCGTAGCCGATCGTGTTTTTTTGCTCCTTCGTTTCGGTCACCGCCGACACATACACACACGTACATGTATGCAGCTTGCGTTACACGTCCGAAATATCGCGTCTTCTCCCAGGCAGCTCTCGATGTATCTCGGTAATATCTACGCGTTCAAGGTCAGCGCACGAAGCAAGTAGCCGGTACTTGTAAAGTGGTCGCACGCACATACGCGCTGTAACGCGGCACGCCGATACTCATTTCCTGACCAAAAATAATAGTTGGTCGAGCGCGCGCAAGTCGAAACGGCCGGCGATCGAGGTCAGGTTCTTTCGCATTCGTTGGTCCGCTCAGTCGTCGGGCCGTTCGGTCGCCTGCGTCCGCGATAAATTACCGGCGACACGCGTAATCTCGATCCTTTCGACTTACCTAGTGACTATACATACTCTTTGTAGCGTGCTTCTTTCCAATTGTACTGTTCGCGCTTGTTCGCTCGCGCGCGCTCTCTCCGTTCTCCCTCCCCCCCCCCTCCCCCCACGTCGCCGTTTCTCACGTCTTTGTCGCGTACCCGCGGAACACGGCCTGTCGGTTCGCTCGCACGCGACCCGCGTATGGAAGTGTGGAGCAGCGGTGCGTCGTATTCTCTTGCCTCGCGTACATCCTAGCCGGTCGTTCATTCCTCCCCCTTTTGTCTCTTTCTCTTCGTTTTTCTCCTCCATTTTCACGTGGTTTGGTGTGATCGCAGTGATTGTTGTGAAACGGAGGTGAAGAAAGAAGAGAACCAACGAAATCAGGTAGAAGAGAGAGAGAGAGAGAAAGATAGGGAAAGACACACGCGGTACCGAGTTGAAGTGAAACACCATCCAAAGGAAAAAAAAAAAAGAAATAGAAAAGAACTGGCATTGTGAGCAAAAGGACAAGTGAAATTGGAAGTAAGATACAGAGACGTATATGCGGACACGGACACGGACACGGACACGGACACGAACACACGATCGCGGACAAGATACAAACGGAAAGTCGTCGAACGGTGAGAGAAAAGAAAGCCACGAAGGGAAACGGATCGCGAAATAGCCGACGGAATATATGCCGTGATAGAGAAGGAAAAAAAGACAGCAACAAAAAGGAAAAAAAAGAAAAAAAAAGAAAAATAGACGATTCTTGATGCGTATCGCGGTTGGAAAGGCCTGGCCATCGATTTGCCGTCCGCGAATCTAGTGCGCGTTTGAAATCGGGCTAGCCTCCGAGTAGTGTGGCGCGCGCGCGCGTGTGTGTTACGTGCATCTAAGCGAACGCAGCCAGCGAGGCGCGCGGACGGAGAAAAGGAGGAAGAGGTGGCGGTGGTGGAAGAGGCGGTGGAGAAGGAGCGGCGGTTGAACAGGCGGCCGGGAAGAAAAGTTCGAGAAGCAACACCAGCGCCAGCCAACATCAACATCAACAACAACACCAACACCAACACCAACGCCACCACCACCAACAACCACAATAATAACAGATCGGCCGCGCGGTGTATAGGAGGTGCTGGTGCTCGTCGTGTGCGTTCTGAACGTTTATTGCGTTGTGTGTCGCGCGCGCGCGCGGCAGTGATCGTCGGTGTGTGTGCCGGGATTGCAGGGAAAGAGGTAGTGAACCGAAGCCGCCAGAATTACGCCAAATCGGGGAAATATGAGCATTGCTGCCCTACTACAGGCTGCCGAGTATATTGAACGAAGGGAAAGAGGTGAGTACTGCCCTGTCGTCTATATGTATCACGCGTACGCCTACACGTATTTCTATATGCGTGGCTTTTCCCTTTTCTCCCTCGCGAACGCCGGCAAGTTTCATTCGCGGTTGTGCCTGTATGTGGCTCGCGTGTATGCGCCATGTCATTGGCACATGGCAACGAACGCGCGTTGCACCGTCGTCGGATCTCGGAACGCGACCTTTGTTATTACGCCTATCCTCAGCTCCGCTTCTTCATTCTTCGTGGCCCTTTCTTTCATCGGTATCGCGATCATCGTTCTGGAATCGAAGCCTAGACGGAAAATCACCTTCTTTGTTTCACCTATTAACTGTACGTGCGGCTCTTTCCCATCCAAACCACGTGTGAAAACCTGGGTTTTAAAAGTTAAATGGGTTACAAAAATTATTTCCGACATCGGAATTTTTCGTATTCCCTCCTTTTCACAGTTGATATCAAACGGTTTGGAAATGGAATGGAAGTATAGGAGGGCCAGCGTGTAGAGTCATCGGTGGCTTACGTCGTAGCACGGAATACACATGTTATTAATAAGTACAGATAAATTTTCCAATATCGAAACCGGACTCTGACACGCTGCAGCGAGACTAGATTTTTTTTTTGTGTTCCGTAACTGTGCGTTTTGGAGCGCGTGACCTTCACCGGTGTGTACGCCACTGTGACGCAACGTGCAGCGCACGCTGCAGCCGTGTCGCGGTGCACGTTCGTTTTTCGGCCAACCGACGACCAAGCACATCAGCAAATGTACGTGTATGTATAATACATACACACACACACATACATACGCGTTCGTTGTGCTTTTTCGCGATGTGTGGGTGCATATCATTGTGACACGTAGGTCGCGTCCGTCACGTATACACGTATGCGTCAGAGTGCGCGAAGAAGCGGTAACGATGATCTCATTTTATCACTCCACTTATAATACCGCTGCGACGTAGTCGATGCTGCGTTTGCTCGCGTTATCTCTTTCCTCCTCGTTTCTCTTGCATTTTTATTAACTGACCGTCTGTTTAATAAAATTCTATCCACTTCTCTAGTTGATATCTCGATCTCTCACGTTTCGAACATTTTGAGAGACGGAGCGTGTATGCAGAAACATTTCTCTCTCAAATGTGGCAAACAAGCATCTATAATTAAATCTTCGATGAGGGTCAAAACAACTATGCAACTATCTCGTTATCGTCACGTTTCCTAGATCAGTGTTCGTCGATTGATGTCCATTTAATCGAGAGCGCATCATCATTAGGCGCAAGTTTGCACTTCGGTTTGTCGTTGATTCTCGCGAGATTCGTAAAACAAAACCTCAAGATTCCTCTCTCTCCCCTTCTTTCCAGCCCGTTTCTTTTAAATTCACCGGGCCGCTAATAGCCAACTGCTGCCAACGTTACAAATCTGTTTTTCCCCCGAGCGAAAGCCGCGCGTGACGTAAATAACCAAAATACACAGATCACAACAAACGGCTGTCGAGTTGCATTTTTCCGCGACGCTACGTTTCGCTTTCGAATAGCCGGTCGAGATTTACGGTGTCGTAATTCTTTCCTGTTTCTTTTAAGATCCGTGTGGTACGGAGCGCGTGTGACGTACACGTACGTACGTATGTACGTACGTACGTGCATATGCACGGAACACCGCGTATAGCCACGTTCATACACACGTTCGAGCGAACACTCCGAAAGAACGGCTTCTTTGTTTCTCCCTCCTCTCCCTCTTTCTCTCTCTCTCTCTCTCTCTCTCTCTCGTCTGTTGCCGTGCATCGATCTCTCGTGGTTAAAGCTCGCATCACGCGAACAAGAGAGGGACGTTTTCGTGTGCGCACGTTCGTTCACGAGTAAAGGCAGCACACCAGCAGTCGAGCCCCAGAAAAAGCTTTCGGTTTATTGGCCGCGGTCTCGTCAAGTGAGAGAGAAGAACAAGGGGGGAAATCACGGGTGGATCGTCGATCGAGCATTAACTATTATTGCTCGAGGGTACGCGAGATAAGGCTGTTACGTTATTTTAATCGGTCTATTTGGCACGGTTTCCCCGAAAATCGCTCGCGGACGACGCGGCGATTGTCCAAAATTAATTGCCCGCTCAAGGCCGCTTCCATGACCGCGAAACACGTATGCACGCCTCGCGAGTGACATCTGTTTTTCTGTATACCTCGTGACTGTATCCCCGTGGCAAGAGTCAAAGTTTCAGTCAAGTTTCCCGATGCAAGTTTCGCTGTACCTTTAAAGTTATTACCTTCTAATTAGACAGCGTCGCCAAAGTTAAAATCGTTCGATCGATCTGGCCACGGTGAAATTCCACGCGACAAGCTTCAAGCTGCAACGAGCCGAGCTTCAAGCTGCATTCCCATTTTGATCGCGATGCAAGCCCGCGGCGAAGTTCTTCACCGAGTTGGTCGGTTGCTCGCCGGCCATTAATTGACCGGTCGATTAATTTCGTAGCTGCTCGCAGTTTCGCACGGACCGGGGTCCGTTCTTTCGTAACCTCGCCCGTTTCGAACGTTCCGGACGTTCGATTGCGAGGCCGCGCTCCGAGCTATCGTTAAGCGGCTTCCGTGATTTCCAACGCATTCGACGAGCGTTAAGCTAATATCGCGCTCGATATTAACAAATTTCGCCGGCGGAGTTACGGCCCCGTGTCGAACGAAACGAATGGCAAATTAAATTGTTGCCGCTCCGGGAGAGGAATTCTCTCTCTCCTCTCTCTCGATCTCGTTCCGGGCAGAATTCGCGCTGAATCGCTCCGTTGACGATCCCAGCGACGCGTTTCCGATTCTTCTGTCGTTTCTATAAAAA